AACAGGCCACCGCCTAGCTGATCGGTCGCCTGAGGTGGGATGGGCGCATCGGCTCACGGTGCCGGCGGACTCTTCTGCGCGCCCCACAGCACGACCTGGATCCCTTGACACACAAACAAACACACACCAGGGTACACATAACCAGGTGATTAGAAGAATCCGGCGCTCCCTGACTCCCGGTGTCGCTCATCAGCCGCTTTAAACACTACACACATTTGGCTGATGATGTGTCTGGTAATGCGCAGAAAAAAACGAAACAAGCCGGGAGTAAGCATTGTAGAGCAGGTTGTGCACGGAACGAAGAAGAAAAAGAAGAAGCGAAAGAGAGAGGGAGGGAGGGAGGGAGGGAGAGCGAAAGAAAAACGAGAGAGAAATCAAGAAAGAAAATTAAAACAAGAACGAGAACACAGCTTACCTTTTAGCGAAGGATCTCCAGGAAGTGCTGAAGGCTTTCGATGGAGAAGCTCGTGTTTATTCTATAAAGCTAGGCTTAAGGTGCGTTTATTGTTATCATGCCTGCGGTTAATATTACTAGTAACACTGACGACAAGAAGAACAATAGTACTACAAACGATAGCAAGTGGCAAGTAACAAGACTGATGTTGCCTAAGAGCTGGTACTAAGTCACTGTAGATAGAAATAATATTCGAATACTACTAGTGCTAATACAAGTAATCATACTTAGTAATGTCAGTACACAAGACATCCTGATAAAGTGCAATAATATAGGTGGTTAGCAAGCAAGTTCATCCAAACAGTATCCAACTTACCTGGGGTAGGGGGAACTAGCTTTGAGGTTCCCGGCGTGCTTGAAGACAGATCCTTATCTCGGAAAATGGCGAGGTGATGAGTGGGTGGAAATAGCACCGGTGATGGGTTTGTAGGATGTGCTGGATGTGTCAACATCGCGGTGAATGTTGCTGTCGTGTGTGCGCATGTGACCTAATAGGCCCATGCGATGGGTGAATGTGCGGGGCCAGTGTGGGCGGTGAAGGCGACGGTCTTTTTTATGTGTTGGTGCTCCAGGCACTGACTCACCAGTCTCCATGAGATTCATTCGCTAGTGACCGGCCAGGCCGATGAGGGAGGTGAATGTGCGATTGCAGTGAGGGCAGATTAGGATCGAGCACCCAGTGCTGGTAGATGGTTCAGATGTA